AAGTACGTGGCGCTAATCACGTGGGCAAACGTGTTCTTTGGGATCATTGCAAATGTTATAAACGCCTTTGTGCTGCAGCTGCTCTCGTACAACTTCCGCGTGACGGTGACGTCAGTGATGGCGATTGTGGCCATTCTGCTGGTGAGCTTCGCCTGGGACATCGGTGGGCACAACAACGTTGCCGCCTTTATTACGATGCTGGTTGGCGTCATCTTCATTGGGATGTCATGCAACTACGGCAGCAGTGTGTTCTTGGGCTACATGGAGCGCATGCCGCCTTGGCAGATCAGCTCGTGGTCGTCCGGAACGGGATTGTCGGGTGTTGCCGCCTCGCTCATATTTCTTGGCTTGACGTCCGCTAGCATGACTAACGCACAGATCTTCTTGCTTAGCATCGTTTTTGTCATTGTCTACTGGCTCATGTATTTCTTCGGTCTCAAGTTGCCCTTTTGTGTGCCGGTGAGCTCTGCCAGCACGACGGAGGGGAACGAAGTGGCCGGCGACCCCTTGAGGAGAGTTGAGGAAGCGGAGGAGGGGGGCCACTACGTGTGCAAGGCCATGGTCAACTGGAAGGGCACGCCGTGGACAAGCATCATCCCTGCGCGGCCCGACGTGAAACCGGAGTGTCTGAGGGCGATGGAGCGCGCGAAGCGAGCTGCTGCTTCTGAGGGCGGGAAACGTGAACCAGTGGAGAAGGCGGAGGATGCGGAGAAGTGCGAAAACGCGCATCTGGGCAGGTGGGCACTGTGGAGGCGCGACGTGTGGCCGCTGATCAAGGAGATGCACAGCTTCACGCTGTGGAACAACTTGAACCTCGCCCTGGTGTACGTCGCGGAGTATGCGGTGCAATTTATGGTGCCCTTCAGCTTTCCGTGCGATCAGGTGAAGATGGAGAAGAGCTTTTGGCTGAAAAATTCGTTTGTCATCACGCAGTTCTGCTACCAGTTCGGCGTGCTGATCTCCCGCAGCAGCCTCTTGTGCATCCGCATTCGCCATGTGTGGATCATGTCAGTCGTCCAGGTGCTCAACGCGGTTGCCTGGTTCCTGCAGGCGAAACTAAAATACATTTCAGACCCGAATGACGCGGATCGCGAAATTAAACTTGCGTTTGTCCTTTTCCTATGGATGATCTTTGTGGGCCTGATGGGCGGCGCCTCGTATGTGAACGTGTTCTACAACATCCTTGAGGAGACGCGGGTGATGCAGGCGCAGGAGGTGGAGGAGGCCGTGGAGTTTCTCGCCTCGCGCCAGCGAGTTGGCGACGAAGCGAAGCCGGGGAAGGCCGGGGGTGGGGAGCAAGAAATGGACGTGGTGGAGGGGGAGTCGAAGGAGGCGTGCGAGGCGACCCACTACATCGCGACCGTCTGGAAGGAGAAGCGTGACCTGGCGATGAACCTCGGCTCCATCTACTCCTCCATTGGAATCACCCTGGGCTCCCTGCTGGACCTGCTCTTCACGCTGGTGGTTTTGAAGGGAGACGAGTGCACGTAGCGCAAAGCCAGCGGCAATATTACTGAACATCGGGCCATTAAACGGAAAATGATTGCGCGCAGAGGAGTTGCAATGAGGACTTTTGTTTCTTTGTTCCTTTCTCCCTCCCTGTCTGTTTTTTTTTAAGCTTGTGGAAGTAGCGTGCCAGCCGATGAGGCCAAATAAATGAGTGATGGTCTCCTCTGGCTCTACCGCTTTTCCGGCGATGGCTCTATTCTTGTTTCCAGCCGCATAGCCTTGGATGGTGGCGAGCGGAGCCTTTGTGTTTTGTCCTTCCGCCAACGCACTCCCCGCGGAAGAGTAGTCTGGTGGCTGCGGGGCCCCAATGAGTGCCGCCGGGCCAGTTTCCGACGAAAGCCTCGTTGGTAGCAAGGCGTCTTTCCAGATCATTTGTTTGTGAGAGTGTGCGCGAGCGTGAGACATGCATCTACGCTCCGGGTGGGGCGGGATGTGGGGTACATCGGCCCCAACCTCTGCTTTGCCATCCTGTTGGGTCGTCTTGTAGGAATGTGGTAAGAGGTCGCAGCCAAGCTTATGTTCCTGTGTTTTATT